GGTGACCAAAGTGGTAACATCCTTGCTCTTGAGGCTCAGTTATAATTCAATATTCAAACCACAGACGGTCTAATAAGCTTCAGTATTGTTGGTGGAATGAGATTGCCGCACACTTTCTTTTTTAAAGTCAAATTTAAAACCTTTTAAAAGCCTAAACAAAGAGAAGTGAAAAGCATTTCCACACAGCAACATTACCGAATCAACAAATGCTTTATCTTTTTGAATGTATCTAAAAGTTCAGAGTCAGAAAACATCTTAAAAATACAGATTGTGTGCAAAAAAACCAAAACAACAACCCACGGAGCAGTTTAGCAGTCGCTGAAAAGAATTACTGAAAGATTCAGTTTAACAGAACTCATCAATACGTCCAATTTTACCAGTCAGCGTACCAGCAGGAGATGACGGTGTACTAGCAGCAGGCATGAAAGAATCCATTGGCGCCTTATCTTTTTTTAATACAAGCATAGTGTGCTCTTCTGGTTTCATACGGGACTTGATTGTTCAGGAACTCATTGTCCCAAGTTTCAAACTTTTTTTTTTTTTGCCTCAAAATTGCTCCTTCGACTTTCAGGATATTCTTGGTATTTTTCATCTCGGAGCCAAATATCTCCAAACTTGTATTTGAAAGCTTATTTTTCTTCCTTTCATGGTTTGTGTGATACCTTCAGTGAATGTGAGATGAAGCTTTTGAGCACATAATTTTAAAAAAGGCATCAATATAAGATGCAAATATAGAATGTGATCATCTCAAAATAGAAGACTTCAAGGGTGAAAATAGAACATTTAATGACCTTAAATGTGATCACTGACATGCATTTCTCTTTAAAGATGTGCAGGAACCCATGGTTGTGTCCTGCACATTGAAACGTTGTGATTGTAATTTTGTCGAGCGTCCCACCAAATGCTAAAGTCCCACCAGGAAAACAACAGACTGCAGGATGACCAAAGGTACTGTGACGGCAATGAACCAGACATTTCACGGCCACTGAACTAGTTGCGAGCAGGTCCGCGAGCACTCGTCGGTCGATGTTTTCAGTGCGACTTTGGTTCATTAAGACATCAATAAAAGATCAATAAGCCGGACTCAAGTTGGCAATTGCATGCAATCAATGATAATATGACAAGTAAATTATAAGTTAGCGAAAAATGCAAATCTGCACATGTAATTTTAGAGATAGGAAAGCAGATTTCCTTCACAAATTGTGACAAATGGTAGTTTCTGCATGCTTTCATATAGGAACATAACCAGTTGAGTCGAGTCCCCTGTTGCACATGTCGCAGACCAACTCAACATGTTGGCAGTCTATCTGCATTTATAAATTAGATGCTAATGGTTTGGAAACCTTCACCAATCAGAGTGACTGCTGCGAGTCGATCAATAACCGTTGCCAAGGTTGAGGCTGTTGCTAAACCATCACGTGCAATCATTGTGCAACCATTTTTTTCCCCGGTCACAAGAAGGTTGCCGTCCTATTTTTACTCTCGTGTGACTGAAGCATTAACTGAGCTCTCCATTTAGTCACGAGATCAGTATCTTACTAACAAAAGGATTAAAACTCTTAAAGTGGAAATGCTGTTCCCAGCCAAAGCTCAAAGAGCTTTTTTTACTCTCACACATACTCTAGATATTACTAGATTGAGTCAGTATGAATCATAGTTTTTAGCATTTTTTTACTTCTGGCTCTTATTTTTTTCTTTTTCAAACATGCATTTTGATTTGTTTTGGTCCGCTGGGTACTCGACTTTGGAGTAGAGTTAAAAATGCTTTCAAGAGGGAGAACGAGGGATGTTCTGAACTGACGGCGAAAGCTCAAAGTAGTTCTCGGCGGTATAGGATAAAGTCTTTTACTGTATAACACACTACGTGATACGCCACGAGGCGGACACCAGGGAATGGCTTCCTGTCGTTTCTTCCTGACCAGAGATCCCAGAGATGAGAGTCGCGCTCACCTATTGACTGGTCTACCACCAGGTCCACCCCTCCCCAGTTTCCCACTGGTATCTGCACTCAGACGCACCTCCATAATCACCGTCACCCTCGCTGAGTAATTACGCCGATTAATGCGCAGACAGAGCTCGCCTCTGGCTGTGGATACTCTATCAAGACACGCGCGATAATGGATGAGCGTGCATTCTTAATAGAGAATCCATAGCGCCTAAACCTGGAAAAACATGTGTACACTTTTTTGATTACCCACAATCCTCTTGGTGTAGATCATTTACCAGCCCAGAAACAAGAGAACGCGGTCAGGTTCTTTCGCCCTTGTCGTGGCGCTCTCGCTGACCTCTAAAAATGGACAACAAAGATCATATCACGAAACCAATACTAGCGCCAACAGCCTTTGCACAAATTGATTTACCCACCCAGAACTCACTCCCATCTCAATGAGGTGGCAGGATGCTCACAGCATATATCACTGTCACACAAGCACCCTCTAGTGAAATGTGATTTTTATCTTTATGAGCTTTTTCCCCTCCTTTTCGGTACAGCGTGTAGCGGCTTGTGATAAGTGATGAGAAATAAAGGCTTAGCGCATTACGTTAATACAGGTGCTCTGTGCGCATATGGGTGCTATCACACAGGCAGAACGACACTGCTGCGGTCGCGCGCGTTCGAAAGCGGCTGGCGAGGCGGCAGGGGGTCGGTGCTATATGGCTCATAGATCACTAGCGTGTGGGTGAGAGTTGTCACCACAGCCAGCGCCTGGCTGCGAAGCACAACATAGTTTATGGCACACTCCTGCTAGACGTAAGCACGAATCGTGGCCCAGGCAACAATGAGGAAAAGCGCACTAAAAATAGATGATAAGCTTTTTTGCGCTCGCCCCAGAAACAATGGCTCCTTTTGATTTTTCATGCACTGAAACTGTCGAACAAAGGATAAAGGAAGCGGCGCGTAATGTCTGACTGGGCCTGTAGTAAAAGATCTGGATAAATACAGGCGAGAGGCCCCCGCTAACCTGAAACGCACCCTCGGTGAAAGCTGGAAAGACACGATAAACGTTGCACTTTCAAGTGTGTTAAATGCACTAAGATAGTCGGGGCTTTCTCTCTTTCCGACTGACAACCTCTGTTACACAGTTAATTACAGCCAACTGCAACACAGCGCAGTGTCAATTATCATGTGCTTTAGCTCTCTCCCAATGGATATTTTTACTGCCTGGGTTTCACTGCTAAAGTTTCTACCTTCTTTTATTGCTATTCTGCCCAGGTCTCGAGGCTGAATTACATTCGCCAGACAGAGCTGTAAAAACAGAAGGGATTTAAGGATTCAGATTGGTGGAGGGTAACCTAATCTTCCGTAATTGGGGGAATGGTTCTCATTTATATCAGCCTACTTTAGAAAGCAAGCTCATCGGCAGGCTGCTATCATCCCAGGCATTTTACTCCGACGATTCATTTTCATAAAGGCAGAGGAAAGGGAGGCCGGGCCGCCACCGCTTTCGAACACGCATATTAAACCTAATCGCGATTAATCAGCGCGCCGCTTTGACTTTGCAGGTTGTGGGAATCAACATACACAGCAGAAATGTTGCACAGAGATCCTTCATGTGCTCGCTGGGTTTCGCCCGAGCCGCTGTGCTGCTGGAGTGCTGTGAAATAACACATTCTGGGCTGCGTTGTCTGAAAATGGAACTAAAATGGTAATCCTCTGCCAGGCAAAGCGTTCTCGCCTCGCCAGATGCTTAGTTCTGAAATTTGCCTAATTGCCACGCTCAGATCAATCCCTTTCACTCTGCCAAATGAATCTGCCAAAGTGTGTTGTGAGCGTTTTGTTGGCCCAATATGGGCATTTTTTTTGCCTCGCAAAGATTGGTGTTTTCGTGACTTGCGGTGAAGGCCTCGGAGACTTTTTAGTATTGGTGACATATCTGCACAAGCGGAGGAGCGTCCAACCCTGCTGACCCATGTGCCCATTAGCTATGGTGTTGCAGTGAGGGCACAGGGCCCGTCTTGGCTCCATCACACACACACACACACACACCCACCCACTCTTCATATGGCTCAGACACATGTCGTGGGCAGACTAAACGTGGCCCTCTGATCAAAGAGCAGCATGTACGGATGGACGCTGACTTCCTGACCCCCCCTCCCTGCACCCACACACACACACTGACTATCCTTTATTGTGTACAGTAGGCACAATCACTGCACTCTAGGCATGCACGGCTCTGTAGTAACGCGTTTTCCTCTTTAAAAAACCGAAACCCTGTCACAACTAATGGTACGTGGGCACAAACACTGAATTTAAAAAAAAATCCTACTCGTGCATCTGCTACTGTAGTCATTAAAACTACGCTAAGTGCTTTTGAGGCTATGAATGGCACACACATATGCTTAGCACATCTTGGACCAGGAGCAACATCCATCTACAATTCATCCCCCATCTGCACGGCGTCACCAGAAAAATGACGGCGGCGCAAAAGTCCTCGCTCCACAACAAGAGCAACGTCGGTTAAAAAAAAGAAAGAAGAAAGAGAAGCGCATCTATCTGTGTGCGCGTGTAAATATGGAAAGTGACGGATGAATCAGAAGTTTAGTCAACAGAGAAAACCTTGGTTCCAGCTGCCCGGCTGTCTGATGAGCCACTCTATGCTTGTCAACAACATCCCCTATCATTCTCGCACAACTATCTACTCACAAAACCAAGACCCGCCCCCTACATCCCTTCGGCAATTCCACCATCCTCCAGGAGAAACACCTCCGAAAGCAGAGCGGCTTGCTCGCAGCGGCGGCGGCAGAAATCCCTTTCCCTCCTCGACTCTTTCCCCCCCCTCCCTCTCTGCCTTCCCCTCTCTTCTCCTCTCTCTGTATTTCTGTGCATGTCCTCTCTCATTCCTCTTTCTCTCCCTTCCCGCGCTGCTTCTCCTGCTGCCGCCGCCGCTGTGTTTGGCGCGACGGATGAAAACATAAAAGAGGCAAAGAATAAAAAGAAAGCGAAATAGACAAAACCGATGTTGGGGAGGCTGGAGAAGCCAAATTAGCATGAGAATACTCACAGTGTTGTTGCTGAAGGAGCGCGGGGATGGGAGCGCGGCACCGGTCCCTCCGTCAGATACAACCTGCACAAGATTGAAGAGGAGAAAAAAAAAAGAAAACCGAGGCTGTGAGAGAGCGGCAAAGCGAGAGGGGAGAGGAGGAGGAGGAGGAGGAGGAGAGAAGAACAGGACAAGGAGGAGGAGGAGAAGAAGAAGAGAGAGGAGGAGGGAGCTGAGCATCTAAGGCACGCACCAACAGGAGCCCAAATAAAGAAATAAAAGGATTCCTCGAGCAATGTGCGTGTGTTTGGGCAGCGATGCTGTGTTTGTGTGTGTTGTGATGAAAGGGGGCGGGGAAGCTGGTTGTCTTTGGGAAATATAAAAACACACACACACGCTCATGCGGGTTGCACTTGGCCGCACAATCACATCTGACAGGTCTGATCTGTGGTCCACCTACCTCCTTATCGCTGCCTCACTCTTCCACAGTACTCTGCTCTCTCTCTCTCTCACAAACACTAAATCTCACTCGCTCGCTCGCTCTCTCTGTTGCTCACACTGATGCCAGAGATTCGGCCGCTACAGGGGAGCTATCGCCCTCATCACTGTATGTTGCTGGAAGAGGGAGGGCACCGTCGGATCTCCCGCCCGCCCACGCCACCCGGCCCGACCCCTCCTCCCCTCCATCTCCTCCTCCATCTCCACCTCCAATGTACAGAGAAAGAGAATGCTTCAATTGAATGAAAGCAATCCCAGCGGCATTGAGGCAATTATAGAGGCTGCTGGCACTGTTTTCTGCTTTTTTCGTCCTCCCCTCCTCTTTCTCGTTCCCTTCATCCTCTCCCGGGCTGGTGGAGAGTCTGTTTTCTCTCCCTTTTAGTTTCTCTCTGCTCCAGACATATGCCACTATTAATGTAGCTTCTGTCACTTCAGCTGTTTCGGTCAGATCACCTCCATCTCTGCTTCAACCTCCGAGGCCCAGGTAGAGTTGCCTCTCTCCCTGCCCGTCTGCACGGCTGCCAGATCCTTCTGAGCCCCCGAAAAGCTCCTCGAAACCGGACTCTTCACTCCACAAACCCGAGAGCGTAACTTAGTAACGGCACAGCGAAGAACAGAAACGCCCCAGGGAAAACTTTAATAACTATCTCTTAGGCTCCTCCTCGTGCGTTTCTGTCTTTCTCCTTGAAAAATCTGGCGCTACATATATCATCATCAAAAGAAGAGCTGTAAGTCAAACACCTCAGCCTCTAATCAGGTAGCTCTCCCTCCGTCCCCTCCACCCCCGCTCCGTGCATCCCCGCAGCCACTACTGCACTTTATCTCCCCTCAATTAACATCTTCCGAGCGAGCCTCTATTATCTTAACCACACAGAGCAGAGAGGTCCTCCGAGGAGACACCGTGGAGGACGGCTGAGCTGTGGACAGAGGGCTCCCAGCCCTGCTGCTGCCGCCGCTTCAATTCGCAGGCCTAATTAAAGCCCGAGTCAGACATGACAAACTGCGAGCGGAGGTGCAACAGAAACAAACACAGTCAGAGGCTCTGCCTGCGCGGATGCATGTAGCCCGGAGGATTCTCTTTGTGAAGATTATCTGCCAGAAAACAGACACGTTCATGTCAACGTCATGACAACATCATCCAAATCTCCTTTGACAGTTTGCTCACTTTGATTGTGCTTTTCTGTGCAGACGCCACCACCGTGTCGCGGCATCTGTACCAATGCAAAGGCTCAAGGATTCCCATAAAATATTTAAGCGATACAGCGCGTCGATGTCACGCTCGTATACGACTAATTTCCATTTTGAAAATACACCCCCTCCCTTGTGTTCGATCGCCCTCGCTAACTTCAATTTCACCCAACGAAGCGATCAAACCGCACATTAAGCCATCAAGCTGCCCTCTTTGTCCTTGCTTCCATCACACAACAACAGTGAGAGCCGGTCCCCCCTCACACCTCCACTCCCGCCACAAAGGAAGCTTGGCTATTTGGACGTCTCTGCCGTGGACTTTGGCTGAGGCTAGACTATTAAGAGTATTCTATTACTGTTAGGTTAACCTGTCACGCTTGGATGTGGCTCTCTTTATTGTCTGGCTGCTGTGAAAGGGCAGGGGATAAAACTCAATCAGCGGGACAAACGACCACACATACCTCCATTCATCAGGACCCGGGGTTTCCCCCGGCCACCGCGCCCGCGCTGTAACGCCGCGGGGGCGGACTTGGCTCCTTAAAATTAGAGACCCTCCCCTCAGGAGCCAATCTGTCCAAGGATGGACGGATGGAGTGAAATCTTTGGTAACATCAGATTTCACTCCTTAATCACGACTTGGGGAATAGCAGCTCTAAGAGGGATGAAGGAGTTAATGCATCGACTGAGATCAAGTATTGCAGTAGACAATGCGGGGGAGTGATTAAGAAAGCAGACTAGTGATCAGTGGATGACAGGGGTCAATCCCCTGTTGGGCAATTGGGTAGTGGCCCTGGGCTATGGTACTTAGCCCCAACAAAGCAGCCAGACACTCAACTGTGTGAGTGGATAAAATGTCAAATTCAACTTCACCCTTTGCCAAGGTTCAAAGCAAGAAGATGACAGTGAACGCTTTGGTTATTAAAAAATTCATATCGTAATGAAACAGCCGTGTTCCATCTTCACACATCCCCCTGCAGCAAACACGGCACTCCTTTTTTCATGGGATCCATCAAGGGAGGGCCACAATTAAGTGACTAATTTGATTAGGAGATAATGTGAGTCCCACTTAATGGAAAGGACAGACTTCACAACACAGGCAGATTAGTTTGGTGGATGCCTGCTTATTAATTAAGACAGCCCTCCGTGCCCATATTAAGTCAAATGCACAGATGCAGTTTTAATGGGTCAAACGTAAGACAAATGGAAATTGGGATGTGGAGGAGAAAAAGAGAAGCTGCTAATACTTGACGATGAAAACTAAAAAATGACCATGAAATGTTTTAATTAAACTTGTATTAACGTCTCCTTAAAAAACAAAAAGTTTGGTGCACGCTCGCGTTAATTATCCCTTCGTAACGTAATCGGTAGCTTGTTGCTAAAACGTGCCGAAGCGCTTCTCCTCTTGAATTTCACTGTGCTGCGTCTGTGTTTCCACTGTGTGTCATTGCACACCATGGCAACAGCAAGTCATTACACTCGTTCAAATTACCTCTCTCACTGTCATTCAGGTTTTGTCTCTGATTCTGCATAAGCCTTTAGACGAACTCCTGCTTTTTATTCATGATACGATCGGCATGCTAACGCACTGCTACGACCTACGCCTCATGCCTCGGAAGATTTGATACAAGCATACAATGAATTATTTATTAATAAACTCATTTAATCTTTGAGCAAAAAGCAAATAAATGGCCCAATTTTCTCCTTTGAAAACTATAAGTAGGCCCGAATTCTTGTCTTGACTGATGCACGGTTCCTGTGAGCAGCTTTTTTATTTTTTTCCACTCTGGCCTCCTGCTTTCTTTTCTAAAGTCCAACAGATTTTGTCTGTAGCTCGTGTCCTGCATGCCCCAACGGCTGCCCAGTGCACGCTGACAATCAGCCAGATGGATCTCCAGCGCGACGATTTCTGAGTCCCTGTAGAAAAAGGTAAAAACCACAACCAAAAGCATGAGAGATTACTGTATTTGCGGCAGTCCTTGAGTTTGTGCTCGCCGTCTGGCTGGAGTATTCAGCCACTGCAGTGCTCTGTCATTCTGGGCACACAGCACACTCCCAAGCGCTCTATTTACGGTAGCCGAATCCCTGCTGCGTGGAGCAGGAAGGGTATAATCTCCCAGTGGTATTCTGGGTGGTGAATCTGCCGGTGTTGTCTGTGCATACCAATAGCAACCTCACCTCTGTCTAAGGAGTTATAATGTATAGAGAAAGAAAGAAGCGGAGAGCCGGCCAACAGAGCGCTGAGGTGTTGGAAGGGAAACGGCGGCGTCTGGTACCCCCGGTGGGGAAATACATGCGCTCCCACCAACACTACCAGTGCGAGTGTTACCACTTTGGTGTCTCCTACTCGTACCACCTGCGTCTGTACAGTCGCACCGTGCTGAATTCAATCAAGCAGTCATGTAAAACAGCTACGTCTACGTAGTGTTTATGTATGCCACCACCTGCAGACACGGGGCTCATTCTGAGAGCTATGATCATCTCGCTGCAAGAAAATGTGATGGAATTTCATTTGAAGAGAGCGTATCTGCAAACTGAAGAGGACTGTAAGAGAAGGTGTAGATTAAACTGCTGTGAGACTCGAGCATTTCTCTGACATGGGCTACAAAACATTGGATTCATCTGTATTTTTTAATCTATTTTTCCAGACGTGGTCACTTTGGTATTGCTTTTTTTTCTGGCTCTATTCAGACATACGCCCGACGCTGACAGAATGAGCCGTAGCACTCGCGTTCTGTGCTACCCGAACTCGATCAAAGCCCTCTCGATCGTGCACCGCGCCGACCGATCCTGAGACGGATAATAAAGTTACTGCTGTGTGCTCATTGCTGCTTGGAGCAATATTCATTTCTAATAGATGTTATTGAGGAAAAACTCTGCACCCCGTTCTAATTTCGTGTGTGCAGAAAGAGCGTTGGTTTAATACATACGCACACAATTTTAATTCTTTCGCCCATGACAGAGTGAGACTCTCAGACTGGATGTCTTACACCAACCTTTGCCTCTTCATGATCTTGTTAGCAGCAACCATGTCTGAACTGACCAACTCGAGACGCAGGAAAGAGACGCGAGCTTCTGCAGTCTTGGGTTTGCCTTTTCTGTTAACGTGAAGGCACGCATTTAATCGTGTTAAACCTGAATGCTGCTGTGAGGACTGTCCTTGCAACTTTTACTAATGCCTGAAGCTGACATTGTGGAAAGGAGCGCTACATGGATGCGAGCGCAGACGCATCGCACCGCAATGCCCTGAAGTGACGAAGCGCAACAATGCTACACGACGGCTACTGTCTGAGGCGTCAGGTGACTTCCCTCTCGGCTATGCGTGCCCGATGAGGCCTCGGCTTCCTTTCTGAATACGATTTGTGCTGAGAACTGGGCGAGCCCAGGGTGAGAGCCAAACCGACAATGCTGAGATGGAGGGAAGATTCAGAGAGCCTCTGTTCTCTCACTGGGGGATCCCCCACATCATTTAGCGCCTCATGCAGATCGCTGCTAGTGGTAACACAGCCCTCTGGGCCTGGGGAATTAATGTACCAAGCAATGGCAGAAGTGATTTATTAAAA